GGTAAGTCATTTGGACCCTGTTGAGTCATGGTACTATGCTTTATAAAGGTAGATCTATTTTAGTTATACTCTTTGATCTGGAATTAACCCTTTGACTTAGAATGTAGTCTTTAATTCTATAGCAAGGGGTTTTAAGAGATTAAATAAAAATTCCAAAGTGTTTATAAAACTTGTATAACTTGGGAGAAGCTTGAACTTTAAACTCTATTTCCTTAGGACTTCACAGGACCAATTCTGAAATACCAGTTTCAGAATGACAACTGTTTCAGAATGACAACTGTTTCAGAATGACAACTGTTCTCTCAATTTCCACTAATCTTTTTGTAGAAATGGCTGCATATGCAGAGTTAGGCTTAGTGAAGTATTCTAAAATTTTAGATTTGGGTTTCTTTTCTCTGTGGCTTCTTCTTCCAGGATTTCTTTCTCAATATTTTGATATTTTGGCTTTCTCAGTATCTTAGGCTTCTCAGCCCAAGATTGTCACTCTGTGCTTATGCTCTACTTCCCAAACACCTCATTCACTGAGACTGTGTGGATAAATGTGATTTCATCTATTATGCTACCCTTGTTTTCAGGGTTTGATTTCTTCTCATTTTGCCTTTTTTTTTCTTCCATTGCCTTCAAAACAGTTGTTTTGATTGTTAATGTGTGAGGAGGTAAATGCTATAAGTTACTATGATATCACCATAAAGAAGGAATGTACACACAATTTTGTACCTTACCTTTTTTACTTAATGTTTTCACATAAATATTTTTCAGTTTATTAAAGCACTTGCCATAAATAGCTCTAATAACTTAAGGATGTCCCAATGTGTGAATAAATGTATCATTATTTATTTGGATATTCTCTTATTTCAGGGAGTCATATTAAATGTTATATTGAATGTTAAAAAGAAAGCTCAAGTAAATAGTTTCTACCGAAAGCATTTGTGAAGTTTTGTAGTCATTTCGGAGAGGTTTTCAGGGATTAAATTGCTATAGACAGTTAAGCTTTCTTTGAATTATTTTTTTCCACCATTTAAAAGTAATCAGTTGGTAACTTTATGTGTAATATTTATGGATTTCTAATTTTCTAGATTGATGTTATTAGCAATAGATTCATTTAACAATTTGATAAAACAAGAGTTCTCAGAAGGCGTATGACAAATTTAAAGTCAAAGATTTTGTTGCTTTTATAAAAAATTTCAAATTGACTTTGGTTTTCTTACATGTGTTAACATATATTGAGTTGCTTAGATATATTAACACACTGAAACAGAATGAAAGGATGCTAATTTTTAAATTTTTTTCTTAAAAAATAATTTATTATTTTAGAGTAATTCACTGAACTTCATTTTGGTATTTCTTTAATTTCCTATTTTTAAATTTAGAAACAATATCTTTGAGTGTGATTACAGATAGAGATACTATTTATAAAAATGATAGCAAAATGTATGTGTCTGAACAAGGATTTCTTTGCTCACAAATTTATTTCATTTCATCTTGCCTGAGATATGATAATCAAATGATAATCCAAATTTCTTTGAAATATTATAATTATGTTTTCATTTATAGTTCCTTTTTTAATTAAAATCTTTTTTTTTTCCTTAAGCAAAGAGAAGATAATATTCGTTGCTTAACTATGCTTGGTCATTTTGGTTTTGAATGTTTGCCTCATCAGTTGGTGAACAGATCTATTCAACAAGGATTCTCTTTTAATGTTCTCTGTGTGGGTAAGTGCTAAACTTCTCATCTGAATTATTACTTAATTTTTCCAAATGCTCATTTCAACTTATCTTCATCATTGTAACATTGTGTTGTTAATTCAAGAACATATCTTTGTTTTCATTGATTTCATCTTCTAGCCATGTTATTTAAACATTTTTTCTTTAAATGTTTCAGTGCTTTTCAAAATCAGATATATCTTTGTGTATATTTTCTTGTTATATTCTGTTAATGACTGAAGGTGTCAGGATAACATGTACAGTTTCAAGGACATCTCTGTCTTTGAAGTATTTGGGATCTTTTATACCACCATAGGGGTTCAGAAGTTTCTCCTCAGCCATCTTACACTCTTTTTTGATGTATCTATCTTTATTACAGGAGAAACAGGAATTGGAAAATCAACACTAATTGACACATTGTTTAATACTAATTTGAAAGACAAAAAATCCTCACACTTTTATTCAAATATTGAACTTAAAATTCAGACATATGAACTTCAGGAAAGCAATGTTCAATTGAAATTAACTGTTGTGAAAACAGTGGGATATGGTGATCAAATAAACAAAGAAGCCAGGTTAGTGTTTTCTTATTTTAATTAAAAGATTTTCTTATTTTAAGGATTTTTCATCTTTCTCCATAGACTAAATTGTAATATTCTTTAAAGACAATTGAAACCTTTCCTCCCAGATTTTACTGTTCCCTAATCAAGTATTGTTCTCTTCTTATTATAAAATTGCCATTTTGTATCAAGTTGTCTGTTTCCTTACTATATTTTTTTCATTTTTTTAAAATTAAGTTTATTGGGGTAACAATGGTTAATACAGTTATATAATTTTCAGGTGTACATTATAATTTGACATCTGTATATTCTATTGTGTGTTTACCATCCCAAGTCCAGTTTCCTTCAGCTACCATGTATTTGATCCCCTTTAACCACTTCACCCTCCCCCTAAACTCTATACTTCACCCCTTTACCCTGTCTACCTCCTCTAACATCCCCCATCCCACTAGTAACCACTAGCCTATAGTCCTCTGGTAACCACTAGTCTATAGTCCATGTCCATGAGTTTCTGTTTGTTTGTCCTGCTCATTCGTTGCTTTTAGGTTTATATCCTACACATATGTGATATCATGTGATTTTCAACTTTTTCTGTCTGGCTTATTTGGCTTAGCATGATTATTTTGAAGTCCATCCATGTTGTCGCAAATGGCAATATGTCATCTCTTCTTATGGCTGAGTAATATTCCATTGTACATATGTACTACAGCTTCTTTAGCTAGTCATCTATTGTAGGACACTTCGGTTGCTTCCATGTCCTGGCCACTGTGAATAATGCTGCTATGAACATCGTTGTGCAAATATTTTTTCGAATGGGTTTTCAAGACTTTGGGGTAAATACCCAGTAGAGGGATTGCTGGATCATATAGTAGATCAATTCTTAGTTTTTTGAGAAAGCTCCATACTGTTTTCCATAGTGGCTGTACTAATTTGCAATCCCACCAGCAGTGTATCAGGATTCCTTTTTCTCCACATTCTCTCCAACATCGTTATTATTTGTTCTGTTGATTATAGCTATTCTAACAGGTGTGTGATGAATCTCATTTTGGTTTTGATTTTCATTTCCCTAAGAGCTAGTGATGTTGAGCATCTTTGCATATATTTGTTGACCATTAGCATGTCCTCTGGAGTGAAGTGTCTGTTCAGGTCCTCTGCCCATTTTTTGGTTGGATCATTTTTGTTGTTGTTGTTGTTGTTGTTGTTATTGAGTCGTATGAGTTCTGTGTATATTTTGAATATTAAGCCCCTATCAGAGGTGTTGCTTGCAAATATATTTTCCCATTTGGATGGTTGTCTCTTTACTTCGTTCACGGTTTCTTTTGCTGAGCAGAAGCTTTTTAGTTTGATGTAGTCCCATTTGTTTACTTTTGCTTTTACTTCACTAGCCTTTGAGGTCAAATTCATAAAATCCTCTTTAAGTCCAAAAACCTTGAGTTTAGATCCTACGTTTTCTTCTACGCATTTTATTGTTTCGGGTCATATATTCAGATCCTTAATTCATTTTGAGTTAATTTTGGTATGTGGTGATAGACAACAGTCTAGTTTCATTCTTTTGCAGGTGGCCTTCCAATTTTCCCAGTACCGTTTATTGAAGAGGCTTTCCTTTCTCCACTGTATGTTTTTGGCTTCTTTGTTGAAAATTATTTGCCCATGTAAATATGGATTTCTTCTGGACTCTCTATACTGTTCCACTGGTATGTGTGTCTGTTTTGCTGCGAATACCATGCAGTTTTGATTACTGTCGCTTTGTAGTATAATTTGAAGTTGGGCAGAGTGATGCCTCCAGCCTCACTTTTTTTTCCCTCAGGATGGCTTTTGCAATTCGGGGTCTTTTGTGCTTTCATATAAATCTGATGATTTTTTGTTCTACTTCTTTAAAAAATGCCGATAAGATTTTGATGAGGATTGCATTAAATCTGTATAATGCTTTATGTAATACGGTCATTTTAACTATGTCAATTCTTCTAATCTATGAACACGAAATATCTTTCCATTTCTTTGTATCTTCTTCTATTTCTTTTAATAGGGACTCATAGTTTTCATTATATAGGTCCTTCACATGTTTCATTAAATTTATTCCTAGGTATTTTATCCTTTTAGTTGTAATTGCAAAAGGAATTACACTTCTTTTTCTGACATTTATTATTAGTGTATAGGAACGCTTTGGATTTTTCAATGTTGATTTTGTATCCAGAGACTTTACTGTATTTGTTTATTGTTTCTAGTAGTGTTCTTGTGGAGTCTTTGGGGTTTCCGTATAGAGAATCATGTCATCCACAAATAGTGACAGTGTGACTTCGTTTCCTATTTGGATGCCTTTTATATCTTTCTCTTGTCTGATTACACTCTCTAGGACCTCCAATGTTATATTAAATAACAGAAGCAATAGTGCACAGCCTTGCCTTGTTCCTGATGTTAGAGGGAAGGTTTTTAGTTTTCCACCATTAAGTATAATATTGGCTGATGGTTTGTCATATATGGACTTTATTATGTTACAGTACTTCTATACCAATTTTGTTAAGAGTTTTGATCACAAGTAGGCGCTGTATCTTGTCAAAGGCTCTTTTTGTATCTATTGATATGATCATTTGATTCTTTTTTAAAAATTTCATTATGTGATGCATCAAATTAATTGATTTGCGTATGTCGAACCATCCCTGTGCCTTTGGGATGAAGCGCACTTGATTGTGGTGTATAATCTTTTTAATATGTTGCTGTATTTGGTTCGCTTGTATCTTATTAGGATTTTTGCAACTGGGTTCATGAGAAGTATTGGTCTGTAGTTTTCTTTTTTCATACTATCCTTACTAGGTTTTGGTATCAGGATGATATTTGCCTCATAATATGAGTTTGGAAATGTTGCCTCCTTTTCGATTTTTTGGAAGAGTTTGAGGAGTATAGGTATTACATATTCTTTGAATGATTGGTAGAATTCAGTGGTAAAGCCATCTGGTCTTGGACTTTTACCTTTTGGTATGTTTTTGATGATTGTTTCAATTTCCATACTGCTGATCAGTCTATTTAGATTTTCCAGATCTTCTTGATACAGCCTAGGAAGGCTGTATTTTTCTAAGTACTGGTCCATTTCTTCAAGGTTATTAAATTTTTCGTATTATTCTTGTATGATTCTTTGTATTTCTGTGATATCAGTCATAATTTCCTCTCTTTCATCCCTGATTTTGTTTATTTGTGTCCTTTCTCTTTTTTCTAGTCAGGTGGTTGTCAATTTTATTGACCTTCTCATAGAACCAGCTCTCTGTTGTATTTATGTTTTCTATTGCTTATTTGTTTTCAATTTCATTTATTTCTGCTCTAATTTTGATGGTTTCTTTCCTTCTGCTGAGTTTAGGCTTCATTTGTTCTTCCTTTTCTAGTTTTTAAAGATGATACATTATGTTGTTTATTTGGGCTCATTGTTGTTTTTGGAGATAGGCCTGTAATGATATGAACTTTCCTCTTATGACCACTTTTTTCCATGTCCCAAAAGTTTTGATATGTACTATCATTATCATTTGTTTCTCTGTATCTCTTGATCTCTGTTTTTATTTCTTCTCTGACCCAGTTATTCTTCTTTAATCTCCATGTATTTGTGTTTTTTTTCCTGCTTTTGTTTTGCAATTGGTCTCTAGTTTCAAAGCACTCTGGTCAGTGAATATGGTTGGTATCATTTCAACCCTCTTATATTTGTTGAAGCTATCTCTGTTTCCCAGTATGTGGTCAATTCTTGAGGATGTTCCATGTGTATGCGAGAAAAATGTATAAGCAGTTGTTTTGGGATGGAAGGCTCTGTAAATGTCAATTATGTCTAGTTCGTCTAATATGTCTCTTAAGGATGTTATTTCCTTATTGATTTTCTGTCTGAATGATCTGTCCATGTTCTAGAGTGGGGTATTTAGTTCCCCTACTATGATAATGTTTTGGTCTGTTTCTCCCTTTAGTTCTGTTAGTAATTGCTTTACATATTTCGGGGCTCCCTGATTGGGAGCATAGATATTAATAAGTGTTATGTCTTCTTGGTGCATGATTCCTTTTATCATTATGAAGTGTTCCTCAGTATCTTTCTTTACCTTTTTTATTTTGAAGTCTATTTCATCTGATATTAGTACCGCTATTCTCACTTTTTTCTGAATGCCATTTGCTTGAAATCACATTTTCCACCCTTTCACTTTGAGTGTATATTTGTCTTTGGAGCTGAGATGTGTGCCCTGGAGGCAGCATACTGTTGGATTTTGTTTTTTGATCCAATGTGTAACTCTGTGCCTTTTTATTGGTGAGTTCAGTCCATTTACATTTAGGGTGATTATTGAAATATGCGGTCTTCTTATAGCCATTTTATCTTTTGCTTTCTGGTAGCTTGGTGTTTCTATTGCTTCTTTGTCCTTGTGTTTCTGTTTTCTTTATTTTGGTTGGCTTTTGTGGGTTTTCCTCTGCTTCTTCTTGTTTTATGTTATATACTTCAGTTCTGAATCTTCTGTGTGCGCTTACTATTATGAATATGTAAAAATAGTTATATATATACAGTTGTCCATTTTCTTCTGCACGTGCCTTATCTCCATTTCCCCTTTGAGAATTTGGATCTTTGAATCCTCCCTTTTTCATTCATTATTTTCTCAATTCGTTTATGTATATGCTGAATTTTCATTATTATTTTGCTATAGCAATTCTCTTATTATTTAAGCTTGTAATTCTCCATTCTTAGTAAGAGTCGCACTCCTCTGCTTCTATTTGCATGATAGTCACTTTACTCCTAATTATGTATTTTTTTTATTGTTTTAGGTGAGCTGACCCCTCTCAGTATTTCTTATAGTGCAGGCCTCATAGTGGAGAATTCCCTCAATTTTTGTATATCTTGAAAGGTCTTACTTTCTCCTTCAAGTCTAAAAGAGAGCTTAGCTGGATACATTATTCTAGGCTGGTAGTTTCTTTCACTTAATAGTTTGAATATTTGATTGCATTCCTTTCTGGCTTGTAAGATTTGTGCTGAGAAGTACGAAGATAATCTACTGGGTTTTTCT